AATGATCAGATCAGGTCTGTGGTTGTTTCCTGTGTAGGTTTGTAATAATTCTTCTGGAGTCCCTGCCCAATACTTGAATTACAGGATGAAGGCAAATGGGCTCCATCCCAGTTTCCTTCTGTGCCAAGTTTCCTTCCTATTGCTTTTACTCAGGGAAGCATGATTTGACTAACGTGTGTGTGTGTGAGAGAGAGAGAGAAAGACAGGGTTTATTGATCTCATTAACAGCTATGATTAATGCATTGTGTAACTTGTTGATTTCCAACAGCAATAATAGGAGTAGCAATAATGGGGATAGGATAATTGGAGCAGTTAGCAGTGGTTTGAAGGGAGAAAAATTACTCTTCAGTGCACAAATTCTCCGACTGGCTCCTTTGCAAGAAATCCGCATGCTGAGAGGAGGTCCCACAAACCAGACGGTAGTCCTGAATGACTTCAAGCTGGAAATCTCCTCTCGCGTTCCTGTCTAGTCACGGCAATGATTTTTTGTGGTCAAAGTGAAGTTGAAGAAGAGCGATGACCATATGCCATCAACATCCTTCCCCGACACCGCTGCGGCTGTCTGGCCTGATCTGCTTGTAGGAGTTAAATAAGAGGTTCTCTCTCTCTCTCTCTCTCTCTCTCTCTCTCTCTCTCTCTCTCTCTGAGAGCTGGAGATGGTTTTGCAGTTACGTGGTGCTCTGGAAAGTAGGTTACTGGGTCAGGAACAGCAAGTTCCAACTGCTTGCCAGGGAGTCCTTTCTGGCCCTCCCTCCCTCCTTTCCTCCCTCGCTCCCTCTTCTGAGCATGCTTACTGCTGTGACCTGCCCGGCTTAAATGGTAAGAAAAACAAAAACTCAAAACCCAAATATGGGCAGCGCTGTGACAGAAAAGGCATTTCTGATTAAACTTGCCCTTTCTTAAACTCCTGGAGGAAAGTGGAGAAGGAATCCTTCCTTGGCTGCCTTGCTTTCTAAGGACAGAGGGAAAAGGCAGTGAGAATCCACAAATAAGGTGGAGCACCCATGCTGTGCGTGTTCTGCAGTGTTAGCTTCTGTTTACTAGAGAGAAATATAAATGACTGCGAGGGTTTGTGCTTTCAGGGAGAGGGTGGCTTGGTTTGCCCAAACGAGGGGAAATAAACCCCTGAGAATCATTTCCACTCCCCACACATGCTGCTCAGGCAACGGGAGACGGGCGTGATTATTCCTCTGCCAACACGGCTTATCATGTTGTGTGAACCGGCACAATGCCAAAACAGCCTGTGGATTCTGGGTGGTTTGTTACCCATGGCAACAAGCCACCCTGACTGGGTGTGCATCGCGTGACACGCCACCCTGGGACAGGCAGTGATGTTAGCACTTGCTCATGACCAGAACACAAAGGGAGCAGAAATAAGCCACTCCTGCAGTTGGGTGAACCTGCCTCCGGTCTTATTTCTACATCTCCCATTGCCCCCAACATGGGCTGTACTGGCTATTGCTGATGGGAGTTGTAGTCCAGAAGCATCTGCAAGGCCTTTAGTCAGTAGATCCTAGTGCAGCCTTAGGACCTTGCTGCACCTGGCATGGTCTTCCACTGAGAGGCCTCGTCTGGTCTAATGACGTCCTGAGAGCAGTCCAACATGCAAAGATCGAATGGGCCCCTAGGGAGGCACAGCAAGTGAATTCTGCAAACCCCAGCTTTCTGCAAACACCACCAAGAAGCTCAGCTTGTCCTGTTTCCCATGTTTGGTTTTGTCCTCTTTTTTCCACTCAGACAGGGACAAGCATGTCTTTAAAAAACCAAAAGGAGTCCACTGAGATGTGTACTTTCCACACATAAAATAAAGCAAGAAAATGGGGATTTTTGTGAAAATGTACCCTTTTCAAATATAAATACATATTTGGGGATTTGAACATTCTCAGAGAGCAGAGGCTCCTGCTGGAAGAGTTGCCCTACCGCTGTTCCAGGGAAGTCTCTGAACCCTGAAGGATGACAAAACTAGTAACTGACATGAAAAGACCTTTAACTGAGCACCCCAAAAGACAGCGATGGGATGAACAGCGGCCCTGATTTACCAGGGAGAGAGAGTTCCTTGCGAGATAGGCATACTTAGTAAACAGAAAAGCAGGGCGGGTGCTGTATGGAGAAATCATTAGTGCCAGCTTGGATGCCGGGTAAACATCTCAGTAGTTTCCCCTTCTCCAACATGTGGCAGATGAAATAAGGGAGGCTCATCTTCATTTTCCTGTTTTCACATCAGCAGAGTTTGCAAGGGATTTATGTATTCATAAGCTTATGAATAAGCATCTCTATACTTCCTTTCTAGTGGTCGGAGGGAATCAAGGGAGGGTTTTTTTTTTTATTGAACCAGACAACAACACACCCAGCACAAACACACAAAGACATAGAAACCCCTTAAAAACCACAACAGTGACACATCCAAAAGAGGTGACTTTTGACCTTCATCCTGAATTCAGAGAGTGGGCACCAGTCATAACGCAAGCTGGGAAGTGTTTCACTTTGATGGAGGTCCTTCTCCGATGGAACAGCCTGTTGCTTTGCTCTTTTGCTTGTGTTCTCTGCAGCAGTTAGTGTTGTACCAGCTTCTCTAGTGAGCGCATTCGTAAACCAACCACAAGAGTTTCCTTTCCAACAAACAAAGAACTCTTAAGAATGTTTCAGAGGTTTGATGTTGTGGAGCTGGGGGTGGTGCTTGCAGAAATAGCTGCATCTCGATGCATACATCAACACTGGATCTTAGATATCGAAGAGGTCTGCTGGAGGACATCTTGTCCTGCCTCTGGCTCTATCCAGGAACTCAGCCTCTTGAAGCTTTCTAGGGAGGGGCAGCTCACCCACCAGGCCTGTAGGCCATGCCTTCCCCTGTCAAACCGCGTTTACCATCAATATGTTTCCTCTGATGGTCGACGGAAATTGGCCACGCTGTTGCTTAGGCCAGTGAGTTCTAGTTCTGCCCTCTGGAACAGCAGGAAACACGTCCCACCTGCTTTTTGGTGACAGCTGTTCCGGTCTTGAAACGTGCTGTTTACAGCCCCATCTGCCCCATCAGTGTTCTCTGGGTTAAACGTATGGAGTTACCCTCATAGAACTCATTTTAACTGTCCTCCTCCTCCTTCTATGGCTGATGCCATCTCTTCGTTCTTTTAGGCACCAAGTGAAAACTTTTTTTATTTAAACAAGTTGTTGGCTAATTAATTTTATTTAATCTAATACTTTATATTTTGTTATGGATTATTTAATTTTGGTTAATTTATTGGCTGTGCTTATTGGTGTGTGCGCATACATTTTATTATGTGATGTTATTAAGTATTTCATTTTTTCCCTATTTTCATGGATTATCAATGGTTTTACTGTATTTTATCTATGTTTTATGCTGTTTAGCATTTGTAAGCTTCCCAGAGAACCTTCAGGTTATGGGGAAGCATAGAAATGAAATACACAATAAAGCACAGTGCCCAGAACTGGACACAAGGAGAGCTGCTTTGCATGTGAGACAAGTTCATGAGTTGCTTACCCATGAAGTAGCCAGGCCATGAGCAAGTCTTCCAAGAGGTCATCACTTCCCTCCTTCTGGTTTTTCCACTGTAACCAGACTTGGCCCTTCAATAACAGATCACCTTCAAACAGAGATCTGTCCTCTGCAAAGTAGGACAACCTGGCTACTCCACAATGGCAGTTGTACTCCAAGACATCTGGATGGCCAAACATGATTGCTCCTTTCTGGTTGGAAACATGGAGAATTAGGGCAATCAGAATCAGAAACCATATTCCTGCAGTTCTGACCACTCCGCTATTAACATTTATAGCAAGTTGGTTTGCAGTCAGCAGAAATCACATTGACCAAGACGAAATGGTCAAGGGTTTAAGAAAGCCAGTTAATGTTCCAGTTGAATAGCAGCCTTTTGTTGTTCTGTTTTACTTTTGTTTTGGAAAAGTTGGCTTTGAAATGGATTTCATAATGTTTCAGCTATTCAAATCTCTTTTAGATCATTTGCAAACCACACTACCCCGAACTGGCATGTTTTGGACTACAACTTCCAGCATTCCTGGCCCTTAGCCATACTGGCTAGGCCTGATGGGAGCTGGAATTCAAAATGGCTGGTGGACACCGAGTTGAGGTCAAGCCATACAAACTGTGAATTATGGTGAATTGCACCCTTTGATAGACATGGACTATAGGACTGAACCCATAATCTGTTATTTCAAGAGGAAAGCAAAGATGAGAAAAGATCTCCCTGATTATTCCAGGGCTCTGTTTTTTGTTTCATTGAAGCTTGTATTTCTTCACTTGACCAGTTTAAAAAATAATCCAAGGGAGAAGAAAACCAACCCCACTACAGTCATCCTTTTTGCTCAAAATCCTTCTTCTGCCCACCAGCAACCCAGATAAATCCCTCCACTCTGGCAGCCTGCTTCTCCGAGCCCATGTGTCTTCAGGGGAAAGGCCACCCAAATTGAACTCCGTTTGATGCCTTCAACTTGCTCTTTTGAAAGTTTCTGAAGTCTAGTTTGGAAGGAAGCCTTAATGGACAAAGCATACCTTGTGGCTTTGTTTTCAAGAACATTATGCCATGTATTGTTTTAAAATAAGGTTTGCAAAGATGGTTCTGGATGGTTCTTTTCAAGCCAAGTTACCTCAGTCGGCTGGCGGGTTATCTCCCGATTGCAATCTGTCACAAGGGCTGATCCTTTTGCACCCAAAAAGCCGCCAGCGGCGTGCATTGTTTGCAGTTTGAGGTATGCTGAGTAACTTTCTGTGGTTATTACAGCTCCAACATTTCCTGTGTTGACTTTTTCATCTTCTGAGACAGCTCAAGTGCAGGAGCAAGTTTCAAATGAAAAGTGGCATGATTTAAATTTGTGTAAATGGCTGTAAATGATCAGATGTAAACATTGTTTCCTTATATTTTGGAAGGAAAAAAGGGGGCAATTCTTTTATTACTAAATGAAAGCCAACTGTAGGTGGCATATATATAATATGTGGATCCCTTTAAGGCCATACAGAGGGAGGGGGGAGATGAGATGGGGCCATTCCAGCACCCCTGCTGGAAGGCGACTGATTATTTTCATTTTTCTTCCCCATCACCTGTGACCTTGTATGCCAAGCTTTTGTGCTATGTTTGTCTCTCATAAGGCTTTGTTACTGGCAATAAGCTAAAAGTGGCTGAGGTTTGGTTGGTTTTGTTGTGGAATTCTGTCTCTGCCCCCTTCGCCTTTGGTCAGACCCATTTCAGAAAGGAATTTGTCCCACAGGCAGATGGAAGTTCCGCACTTTTAACATAGACGTATCTGGCTGCTGATTCATTCGTGTGTGTGTGTAAGAAGCACAAGCTTTGGGAGAATAAACAGGATAACCAAGCGGGCCCAGTCAGTATTTCTCCTGTTGCGCACATGTTCCCATCAACATCCTGAGATGCAAAGGGGAGGGGGAGAGACATGCTACTTGACGGCTTAAAATGAATGCATGTGAAAATATGCTTGCCTGTGCTAGACTGAACCCACTTGACATGTCCCTCCTCATGCGCACATGCATGCCTCTGCGTGTCCACACTTACGCTTCACAGCCAGTGCTTGGACCATGTGATGAGACACGCTGGCTGGAGGCTTTCCTGGGGATTTTCCCTGGTTCGAGGAAACAGGCGATGATTCCACTCTGCGCCAGAGACTTTCTAGCTGCGATTTCCCAGCCTCCCCAGAACATTTCCGAATGCCTTTTGATCTTTGAGACCAAAAGAGCCCCCCAGATGTGTGGGTGCTTATAATGTGTCTGCTCTCCCTGCTTCATGGGGCAGGAGACACAGGGGCTCCAATGCCAGCAGGGCTCCTCATCCAATGCATGCATTTTATTCTGAGCTTTATCCATGGTGGTGAACCTACTTTGGGAAGGGGGTCAGCCCCATAGGCTATAAAGTCCAGCACTCCATTCCCACAGGGGCCCAAAGGAAACACACAAGCCAGGCAGGAGTGCAAGCACCAGTGCACCTGGTCACACCACCTCTGAAACTGTGAGGGGAGCATGTAGCCCCCTGGACTAGTAGCCATCCTCCTCCCATCTCATCTCTGCTCCCACGGGCATGCTGATTCAGCTGGGAGGCCGTGGCACTGCTGTTTCTTGTTCTGAGTCACACTGGTACCTGAGCTCAGGAGAGAGGCAGATCCAGCTGCAAAGTTGACGGAGGCCAGGGAAGGATGACAAGCGCTTGTCAAGCAAAAGTTGGAATCCCCTTCATAGCTCTGCCCACTTTTGACTCTGGTCCCACCCACGATAGAAGTATGACCCCCTACAAGCCTGGTTGCAGCTCTTACATGACAGACTGTCCCCATTCCTGGCATAAAGCATCCAAGGTCATTGCAAGTGGGGTGGGGGGATAGCTTGGTTCGTAAACCCCCCTCTCTCAACGGGAGGCTGCATTGTCCAAGAGCTCTGAATCCTGGAGCCAGCCTTGCACTTTGGAATCCATGGTGGGCTGCTGGCTGTGTTATGCAGACACTAATCCCCAATTGTTATAGAAGATATGACACTCTGTGGCTTTAATTACATTACAAGTAAGGCAAAGACATCTTCATGAGCCTCTCAAAGATTACAGCTTGCTACTGAGATCTTAAACACTCCTGCAATATGTTCACTCTATTTTCAGGAAGGTGTACGAAAAGTGTGGGGAAGTCAGAGGGACTTCTGGGCAGAGGTCTCTATTATCAGTTTTCTCCTGTTGCGACAGGCACTTTGTGATCTCATTTTTATCAGTGGTGTGTTTTTCCTGTTGTTTATATTAATGCTTGCAAAAAGAATGCCAGATTTATTAACTGTGCGAGGTTAATAAACGTAAGAGGGTTTTGATGAGGTGGTGGTAGGAAATGTGCCACTCTCTTAAAGAAAAAAGGAAGGAAAATATGGTCACTGTGACTTGAGCAGAAGTGTGTCATTAAATCAGAGCAGGAGAGGGGGAAGGTTGAGTAAAATAGCTGAGGAACTGTTACTTGCATAATTCCAGAAAACTCAGCCAGGGCATCTTGCAGAAGAAGCAGGAAATGCTTGTGTGCATCCCAGAAGCTCTACTTTTGGCTTCATTGTTCTTCATCCAAGGGCTGCCTGTTACACTTGTTCAGAGAAATCATAATGATGTGCAGAAATCCCCCAAATTCTGCAAGAAGAGAAGCAGAATGGATGCTTTGCCTAAGTTCTTCTTCAGCCTCATGCCCTGCAGATGCATTGGACTACAGCCTAGCTCTCTGCAGGAAGCTTGAAATGGTAGTCTAACAAATCTGGAGCATATGGGGTTGGGGAAGGCTGGTATAAAGGGTATGGGCTTGTGTGGCTTCTTTTATGTGCCTTGAGCTGCTCATGGGTGGGATGGGTGGACATCGGGCAGTGCAGGCTCTCAGAGAGTCCCCTGCTCCACAGCTGCAGAGACTGGGCCCAGTACTGATGGCACCTGCAGTCTCCAGTGGGGTCCTTATCATCCCCTGCATTGTTAAAGAATGTATCTTCCCATTTTTAGATCCCACATGCATGGCTTTGAACAAAAAGCATCCAACTTCCCAGCAATAATGCATAAGCTTCAACCAAAGTTGACCATCAATAGCTCCTTGAAAGCCAATGCTCGAGGCTGACTGTTGTGGAAGGCCCAGAGAGCTTCAGCTTCTGGGCAGGATAGAAATTGGGTGGGTGGAAACAGAGGCAGCAGAGCTGCCCATCCCTACTGGCTCGGCACCCTCCCCCGCTTGCCCACAAAGTGGCCTTGCCAGAGTGGCCTTCTGGGGAAACGCATGATATGGCCAGGAATGGGGAGGGCCCTGCTCTGTCAGGGCTGGCCCTCCTAGCTGGCAGAGGAAGACAGGCATCCCAGGCCGCGAATGCTGGGTGGTGGGCAGAAGGTGCCGGAGCAAGATAGTTGTGTGTCCCACGTCCTGCCCCTCGCCTCTTGTGCTCGCCTGCTGCCTTTGGGCATTGGGGAGAAAGTGGCCCCAACAGGCCAAACCCAAGCAAGCTGCCTGTCAGACCAGGTGGCTTTTGTATATGGAATGGAAGGTGGGCCTGCCCTGAATTTTGCCCCAGGCCTTTTCTCTGGCGGCCACCCCAGCTAGGCCCAGCATGGCAGTCTTTTCAGCCTCAGATCGAAAACATGTTTATTTGCCCAAGAAGCTCAGATTGGTCACTCATACTTCAATGCAGTCTTTAGTCCATGGTCTCATACTAGTTTATTTGTTATGAAGATTTTTGCTTTGCTGTATTTGTATTTGATGTGCTTTATTTTATTCATGCCTGCTATACACTTCTTTCGTATCCATAAGAATGAACAACAGCCTACAAATAAGCCCAATATATACATAAATTAATTAGATGAATAATAGAGGTACTATATTTTGCAAACAAACCACCTTTGCTGCACTCCATGGCTGAAATTAACATGACAATTTGCCTGTCCGAGGCCATGTGCTCCTTTCCTAGTTAGCTGTTTCCAACCAGATGCCTTCCTGATGTGTTTGACTACAACTCCCATCATCCCCTAGTCAACATGGGCAACACATCTGGCATGTACCAAGTTGTGAAAGGCAAAATTAGACCAACAAGATGAACGGGTGTTCCAGCATCAGTACTATGAAACAGAATGATTGTAAATCAGGAACTTTTGCTATGCTTTCAGCAGTCCAAGGAATATTCATTCTCGCTTCCTCTCCACACCTCCACAGAGCTTAATTAAAGAATACTTCCTATTAATTTTGTCCAGCAGCCTTACGGAGCAGCCTGCTCTCCACTCCTGGTCTTCACATTGGGTCACTGCTTGCCTTAGGACATGTCCTTACACAGCCGTGAGCATGGAATCTTGTTGGGATGGACGCATGGGCTACATTTACTCGGAATCTGACAACGAGCTGTATTTAGGCAACGGTATACCTGGACTGATTCAGTTAAATCAGCTGCATGGAGGTCCTTCAAGCTGATTGTCTTGAGAATGGGTTACTTGCTTGAAAGCTCCCCATTCTTAAAAGAGGCCTACAAATAGTTTTGGACAGAGATGTTCATCTCCAGCAGGAGCAAGTGTTCTGCAAAGCTAATTGCCCATTTGAGACTGAGCTGCCCCCACCTGGGGATGATATATCCTTGCTAGGCAAGTTTGTTTTCATCATCTCCACCCCTGCAACTGTGAGGGATGCTAGCCCTGCAAATCCATGAGCTCTGCTTTCACTACACTACAGTGGGATCTATTCCATTTATTACAAGCATGCCAAGATCCACCAGCTGGAACCAGGAGCAGAAGTGACTCAGGAGGGTGACCTGCAATTGAGAAAGAAGGTGGGCCCCTGAGCTCATGCTTGCTGCTGGAATTCTTTTTCCCTACCGCAGAGCTGTCACTCAGACCCTCTCACAGTAACATTTATTCCTGTTTTCTCCCAAGCTTTTTTGATCATAGCATCCAAAGGCTATTTTCAGGGCAATGTGAAATAAGACAGGGTATCAGTTTTGCCAATGCCTATTTATCTATTTATTTAGGGAACGTCTATGCCACCCCATTCACCAAAGCCTCGGGGCGGCTCACAATCATAAATAAATGACATAATATAAAACAATATAATTTAACAGTATAAATTAAGTGGCCAAAGAATAAAATAAATAAATAATATTAACAATTAAAATAATGTTTGGAAAAAAAGGTCTTTGCCTGGCACCGAAAAACAAATAACAACGGCGCCAGGCGGACCTCTCTGGGGAGCACATTCCATAGATTGAGCACCACCACAGAGAAAGCCCTCCTCCGAGTACTTACCCTCCTAATTTCCTTCATGGAGGGTTCCCAGAGAAGGGCCTCTCCCACTGATCTCAAGGGGCGGGCGGGCATATATGGACGTAAGCGCTCCTTCAGGTAACCAGGACCCAAGCCGTTAAGGGCTTTATAGGTCATCACCAACACCTTGAATTGGGCCCGGACTTCAATGGGAAGCCAGTGAAGCTGACGGAGAACTGGAGTCATGTGAACATAACTCCCAGTCCCCGTCAGCAGCCTGGCAGCTCTATTTGGAACCAATTGAAGTATCCAGACCGTCTTCAAGGGCAGCCCCATGTAGAGCGCGTTACAGAAGTCAAGTTGGGAAGTCACCAACGCGTGTGTCACTGTCGCCTATGGTACCAATGCCTATGGTATTGTATGATATCATGCTATACGATTTTAGATAATAACTAAATATTTAACTGCAGACAAGAAAAGGACACATCCTGATACTCATTCTGCCATTTTGTTTTTCAGACCAGGTCAATTCTTGCCCCCTGTCAGCTTGGGTTAAAGAAGGATACAGCCAAGGGGGTGGTATGGAACAGCCCTCCCATTGTATGTGTTCCATCACTGAGTAAGATCTGGAGGAAGGGTTCTCCATAGCGGCTCCCAGAGCTCTCCACTTGGCCTTTGGTCTGCAGGAGGAAAAAAGCTTAAAGGACAACATGTAATTTCTTTATGAAGGCTGCGAGTTAGATCTCATGTGGCAAGCAGCTTTGACGTTTAAGAGAAGCATTTGTACATCCCTTTTTGTGACAGCTTCTTTATTGTTACCTGCAAACGACATGATGGGACAGTACGACTAAACACAGTGGAGAGACATCGTCCACAGTTGGCTGTTTGGAAACAGCAAAAGCAACTTCTTCCCTTCAGTATGTGTCTTCAGTCGTGTTTACCTTGGCGAGATGGCCACCTCCTCTCACTGCCAAAATAACGAGGTGATAATGTAGGTCACAGTTGCACAGTCGCCTTCCTGACCTACATATCTTATGCTCTTGTTGGGTGTCACTTAGCATTACAGCTGACTGAATGCTTGTGCTACATCCAGACCCATTGTCAGTCAATAAAGAGTGTACATGTGTGTTACTGGGTTATGCGAAATGGAAACTCTTTAGAACGTAATTGCAAATTCGTGGGTTCCTTCATGATATGCCACCCAAAACATGTGGCTCTTTCATCAGTGGGGCAGGGTTTCAGCCGGTGGGTTCTCAGCCCTGCGGCTACTATGTCCTCTTCCTCTTTTCTCTATTTTATCCTCACAACAACCACTCTGCGAGGTAGGTTAGGCTGAAAGCCAGTGGCTGGCCCCAAGTCACTCTGTGAGCTTCATGGCTGAGCAGCGACTAGAATCCCGGGTCCCCACTCCCCAGTCCAGTACACTGAGCACAACACCATACTGGGTCTCTGGAAGACATCATGCTGCAATTTTGTTGTATTCCCTTAACTGATTTTCTGTGGTAAGGACAAAAAGATGGAAAAGCCTCTGGGGAAATTGAGGAGGGATACGAGTGGCAGACATCTGGTACTCCAGTAGTAAGTAACTTGCTACTTACTTACTAGAAGGGCGAGGTACAGCCATGTTGGATGATTTTACAACTTTACTAGAGGGCAGGTCTTTCAGGACCCTGGACAGATCTATGCTGGTTGGGACTTGCCAAGGAAGGGCTGTTGTCTCAGCAATGTGCAGAGGTTTCCCCTAAGACTGGCAGGTCTGGGCCTCTTCCCTTTGAGAAACTTTCCGCGTGAAGGGCCATTGGCTGATTCTGCAGTGGCTGGCTCCCATGTATGGATGCTGACTGTGTATTTGGTCCAGAAACTGTGATCTTGGCATATGCTATTAAAAAGCTGAACTGAAATGAATACGCAACCCTTCTGGAACTGAGCACATGCTTTGTGTGCAGGAAGTCCCAGATTCAATTCCCAGCATCTCCAGGTTGGGCTGGAAAAACTCCTTCTTGAAACCCCAGAGAGCTAATGTTTGTCCATGCTAACAATGGACCAATGCTTTGGCCTCAGTCGAAGGTCATTTTCTTTGCCTCTGTAACATCAGAGAGGTCCAGCCTAGCGCCTAGTAATTGCATAGGCACTTGGAACATAATTCCCCACAATGAAGAGAGTTTTCCTTTTCTTTTACCCTCTGTGGCTTTCTTTGCAGATGACCTTATACAAGGAGTGCAATATTTTGGACTACCACACTTGAGCCTTCAGACCCCAGAGCACCTTTACTTTGTTAAGTAGGCAAAGGAGGATCCAAAGGAGCCTACACAGGTGTGTGTGCATTTGTGTACAGGGCCCAAACAAGTGGTGGTAGGATGTCTAGATATCCTACTTCACAAAGGACAGTCCTCTATTTTGGAGAGGTGACTGAGGAAAACCTACCCAGTTTGATTTAGCAATGAAGGTATCATAAGGCAGAAGAGCAAGGAACCTGGACTTTCTCACCAGCAGTATAGGATTGTATTCTAAATTTCCCACATCTCAAATCCCACCCCACTTTCAAACCTATAAATGATTGGTCAAGTTTCTTTTCCCATCTGGGAGATGCACGTTAGGAAAGCATGACATGGTGTGGTTTCTTGATGTGTGTGTTTGGAACAGAAACAGCAAACCAAGCTAAAACCAAAAGAATAGGATATTGGAGCCATTGTTTTAAGTTTATGAAGTTTTCTGTTTCCTATATTTTCGAGGGCACCATTCCAGGCTACTTTAAATGGAGGTTATTAAAACTCACAGTTGCCTCTTTTATGGATGCGTGAGTTCATTTGTTTGCAAAATGTGCTGAGATGAGGTGACTTGAAATATAAACAAAATTTTAAGTCACTGCCATTGTAAAATCTAACCTCATTTCACAAATAACAATCAAACTGTTAAAACTGTGGAAAATGCGAGCTGTTATTTTCTGCTGTACCTTTCCCACAGTGATAAACTTTCTTTAAGGCCTTGCTTTTCAATGCTTCATTTCACTATACTCGCTTGATAGATTTATGGGAATCACTTAAAGAGATTTGATGAAACCTGGCAAGCATATGGACGGAGCAGTGGTGGCTTGGGGTTTCAAGTTAGAGTATGTAAAATCTCAAATGGGTCTTTTAAGGGCACAAAACAATATTCTTTAAACTATTAAAGATGCTGTGCCTTCCAGTCCTTCTAGTAGGATGTCTACTTTTGCATTGCCAAGAGAGAGAACAATCACCTCAAAAGAGGACAAGTCTGCAAAACACATGCAGGTGTTAATTTATATGGATCTATGCAAATTTGGAAATGACTGGAATTTAAGTAGAAATGCAATGCATCTCATCATGCATTGTGGCAGGAGTGTGATGAGATGCTGTGAACCGTTTGTGAGCAGCTTCAGGGGCCCCGCCCTCCAGCAGAAGCCATGCTGCCTCTTACAAAAGAATGAAGGGGCACTTGCCAGATTGATTGGGAACCCAAAAGACTTACAATAGATCCTCCGACTGGTTGGTTGGCTTTGAGAAGGCTCCTTTAAATTTATTTTACACTCCTTTTCAGCCCCGAGAGAGCAGCAATGCCTGTGGAGTGGAATGTGAATTCACCCTGGGCAAAGATTGCACTAGCTAAAGGGACATTCTGTTTATTTAAGGTAAAAGGGTTGCAGAGTTGCTGAGGAGGAAATGAAGGACTATGAGAAAATGACATTGCAAGAGTCTTGCTTTCTGGCTCCAGATGCTCTTGGTTGCTGGCAGGGCAACCCACTGGTCGCTTCCGGGCCAATGGTGCAGCGTATCTGTTCTAGCTTTTAGTCTGGACTTTAAAGCAGGGAGCCGTGGTGCTGAACTCCACCTTCAAAATGAGTTCAGCACTGTGGGCATCTCCTTTAGACCATGATCTGGAGTGGACACACCACCCCACGGATACGGGGGACAGCAGCTTTCGCTGGGTGCAGTGTGGGAGAGCTGAGTTCCAACTAGCAGAGGGATGCAGGCCTCTCTTGGAGGAAAAGTTGCAAGGAGATGTGTACCACGCTGATGTGTACCTCCGCCTCTGTTTTCTAAGTCAAATGGGAGGCTCCCCCTTTTAAGGTACACACTGAAGCCTCAAAACCTGCCTGAATGAAGGGAAGCCTCCCTGGTTCTGTTTTGCAATTCGGTGTGGCTGAGTGGTTAGTGTTGGGAGTGAGACCGATGGGCGCTCTGAGCACTCGTTCTCAAGGACTGCTGGCTAGATTTCAGAGGAATCAGAATCAGAATGTGAAGTGGAACTGGAGGAGGGCCTGAGAAAGTGGGCCATGCCAGGACACTGAGATGAGGGAAGTGGAGGTACTCATCTCAAGGCCAGGCTCTCCAGGAGGGCAGGCAGTCTTTGGGAATAATCAGGGTCTACAGCAGGTGGGAGGGAACCCGAAGCAGGGGAGTTACTCAGAAGCAGGCAAGGCGGGCATGGCTCTTGGCCCCACGGCTGTTTCCAGCAGGGGAAGGTGGCCCAGTGAGAGGTTTGGTGTGCAGAGAGGAGCTGTGCTCACTTCAGAAGGCCTCTCCCAAAAGGGTGGAGCCCAGGAATGCTCCCAAGGAGAGTTCCTGGAGGTGATTACTAGACTGGGTTAACTGAATGAAAAGAATATTGTGCAAGAAAGGTCTGTGGCTCTGAATGTGTGAAGGGGGGAGCCCTCGCTCGCAACAGCTGGTATGCCATGTTAGGGATCCAGAAGCCCAGTTAGTCATGACGTTCACTAGGTGACCTTGATCCCAGTCCCTATCTTTCAGTCTAACCTCCCTCCCAGATGATTAAAATGGGAGGAAAACAAGAAACACCCATTGGAGAAAGGATGGGGTAGAAACATGGTACATTTTTCCATGGGTACAAGATTCCTTTTTACATTGATTGAGTGGAAAGGGAGCTGATGTGGTGGTTAGAGTGTTTGACTGGGGTCCCCACTACAACCCCATGAAGCTCACTGGGTGCCTTTGGGCCAGCCACTGATTCTGAGCCTAGCCTACCTCACAGGGTTGTTGTTGTGAAGATAAAATGGTTGTACATAAGACACCTTTGGTTCCTCACAAGAGTCAAAAAGGTAGGATATAGATGCTATGTAGTAATAAAATAATGATGATGATAGACTGATTTGAGTAAGGACTGATATATACTTTCTAAAGGAGAGAGAATACCAGATACTTAATCCTTGATGAGCAAGCAGAGAGCACTGTCTTTTGTGATGCAAATTCATGGATCCAGGTGTTTGTTTGGTTTTTTTAAGCAGGGTCCTGAGCAGGGGTCAGGAATAGGCCGCACTGGGGTGCCAGCACCTAGCCGATTATGCAAAATATTGGCACCATACCTGTGTGGAAGAGAAAAAGGTTGCCCAGTGGCTCTTTTGTTCGTGCAGAATGGAAGAATAATGAGCAAATCTAAAATTAAATAAAAATAGCTGCATTTCATCCCAAGGCCATATATGAATTTATGGGGACACTAAACATATCCTGCTGTTTGCATTTGATGTTCCAGTTTTCACACATCAAACACCATCTAAGAGCAACCATTTTATCTGATTAGACTCCGCTTGCATGCAAAGTTCCATGTTTACTTTGCCATAAGGACAGAGTTTTATGAGAAAATGGAAAAGTACAAGTGGTATCTTGAAAATCTCCAGGAGAGGCTGGGGCCTTTAGGTGTTTTATCCCTGCAAGCTTTTATACCAAGTATTATAGGTGCTATCCATGGTTCTGATTTCAACCACCCAGTAGGTTTATCATCATAACCTTCTACAAAGCTCAGAATGAAAGTTGCAATGGATAAGGGACCCACATGGGAGAGGGTCCACCAAAGATTATGGCCATTTAAATGGTTGGGTGGACAAGCATATCTCCCTTTCTCTATACACTTTGAAGCCCTTGGGATTTATATGCTGCAATGTATGTGTGGCACGTGCCAAATGTTAACTAGGTGTGTTCTGTCAGAATCCCGGAATCTCAATTTGAAAAGAGGGAATAAAACTCGGGTTCGTGGGAAAGACCAAGCGTCCAGACCATCTAGGCTTTATTGTATTTCCCAGGTTCCCCACGGGTGCGTACTCACAATAATGCATTACCGGGCAGGCAGAGTGAACTCTGCTGCAAAGCTTCAATACC